ATTCTGTTTATGTAAGATTTGAGGTTTTCACAGCGGTGAGTATGAAGATTTCTGTCTTCTGGGTTGTTGCGCTGAAACGTTGGTTACCATCGACCAGTCTACACAGCGCAACAACCCAGAAGACAGAAATCTTCACAAATTCTGTTGTTAGTACAAAATTTAATGAAATTTCTTTTGTCAGAATTTAATGTGAGTTTATTGGAATTAATCAATTTGTTCAATCTAGAAAAGACATCATTTATGCAGTTTTGAAAACAGTCAATTTCTGGATGTGAAATAATAATATCAGTATCATCAGTAAAGAGTTTAGGTTTAGATTGACAGTTGATGGTTCGTGGCAGATCATTGATATATACAAGAAAAAGCAGAGGACCAAGTATTGAACCTTAATGAGAACTGGGATACTAATGAAGGCAATGGGGGAAAGCACATAGAAGTCAGTAAACTGTAAAAGACATGCACCACCCAAACAATTTAAGACAGAGAAACCTCAGAGAAAGAACTGTTACCACATCATACACTTTCCTTCTCTGCCGAACGATACAGAACTCCAAACGTATGTAACGAACAAAACAGAATATAAACTTCACATACAGCACATAAATATTTCAAAATTATCAAATTTAATTATAATAGTCTGTTAGATATATGAACTATAAATACGCAATTTCAAAAATTGTCTCATTTCGTCTATTGTTTATGCAAGACTTTCCAGGTAAAGTGTATTATGTTTGGCACATTATTATGAGGTACACTTCTTGAGTAATAAATACGGACCTTTTCCATAAAATTACAACATCAGAGCTGAACACCACAATCTCGCTCACACGTACACAAGCACGAGCACCAATTAAAACGACATTCATTTCATACTGTCAAACTGTTATCAGAGCCACCTAGACCTAGATATTACAATTCCTGTTGCTATGGTAACATGACAAAAGAAAACAAACGTTTACTTATGGCGGTGTTCGTTTAGAATCGGTATTTTGGTAAAATCAGCTGTACTGATAAAAAAACGGAACATATTTAAAAGGAACATGTTTTCAGACAAATCTTTTGATGTTGTTGGATTCCATTCATGTTGGAAAACTGCCAGGTACAAATTTCTGATTTCAAAACCATTTTGAACTGTAGGTTACAGATGTCATTTTTTACCTTTATGTATGGTACTATACCTGACATTGACTCCCTTTAATGCCCTTTGTCCAGGGAAAGTGTCAATAACATATCATACCTTTGTGTTTTGCCCTGATACGTTTCCTAAAATAAAACTTACATCTCCAAATAAAAGTGTGTGTGTGTGTGCATCTACACATACACACTGGATGCAAGAGACAAGATAAAGTAGTGAGAAATTACTTTCTCTTGTGTTTAGATAAATATTCAATACAATTAAATACATTTCAATTAAACTGCCCTGAGTTCTGATCAATATCTTCCCCTGTATATTTCAGAGAATTTCAGGATGAGGGAATCCAAACAACAGCCTCATCATACAATGAGCAGGAGTCACAGTCCACAGTTTCCAAAGGTGCTGAGGTATAAGAACTTAATTACTCCTCTTACTGAGTTTAATAATACACCTTTGCATGATCACATGCATTCTAAAAACCACAAAAACTTATCCAATATATTCTCACATTAGAAGGGATTAGAATACATTTGCAGTATTAACTGTATGTCATGTCACTTCAATTCATTGTATCCTGATGTTATGAAATCAATTCATTCAAATGCCCTTTATACAATATGCTGCCAGCTCTTTTACATATGTTTCTGCTTCCTGGTTACAGACACAAACAGACCATATACAACCAAACTTGATAATGGCTGAAAATGTAGATTATGACAGACTAGCTGCCTTCTTGAATCGTATCTACCCTAAAGTGATTGCTGAACTTGACAAGATGCATATAAGCCAAGCATTTAATGGATATGAGCCAACAGAAGATAATACTGATGGTGCAGTTAGGAAGTTACATACTCTTCAAGTGCGCAACACCAATTCACAGACTGAGGTACTGATAAGTGCAATGTTTATGTATTTATTTATGGTTTATTTAATGATACTGTCAGTAGTTTAGATTGTATAGCATCAGATAACAGAATAGAATGAATAATGAATTGGAAAATACACAGAAGCAGTCATGACCTAATTTAAGGTATTATACGAATTTTCCTGAAGGGGCTGAGGAAAACAAACATGACATCTCAGAATAGTCAATCTCTGGGCTGAGATTTTAACCTGAAACCATGAAATTCAGGTCAGTTTATGTAATGTAGGTGTCCCCTCCTCACACTTTTTGAGGCATGTGATCCACTGAGGGGCATGTGAATGATGAGGAGGATGGAAGCCCAGGTTTATGGTATTTTTGGTATATACCTGGGGAACTGACAACTCTGAAATTCTCCAGTATGACTGGTCTGAAAGTTGATATCATTCAAAAACCTTCTAGGTAGAAGTTTGATATCTTACTTTGCTCAGTCAATATGGAAATTAACTTTGAACTACTGGTACAAAACACGTGCTCTGAACTGGAAAACGTCTGTGTAAAAACTTCTTACTGTGCGAATCTAAATAAATTTAATTTGTTACAGATGAAAGTTAGCAGTCTGTCCTGGAGCTGCACTGGTGCTGTGGTAGCATTTGCCTGTAGCCAGTCAAAACACGAGAGCTGGTGTGACCATTCAGGCAATGTGCATCTTTTTAACATTAACAGGTAAAGCAATGAAGCTGCCTTAAGGATCAACGAGAAAAAAAAGTTTCTGAATTGTGTTATCATGGCACTGACCTCAGATCATTAGCCTCTATTAATTATACACTTCTCACAAAATTTGTGTTGAGTTCGAACTTAAAGCTGAAGTAAATTATCTACTGTCATTGCACATGAAAAAGTTCAAAACTGTCAATTTTAATTTTTGTAGAACAAAGAATTAAACTGTATACTTGCAAAGGCAAGCTTGTGTTTCTTATTCTTGAGAGAAAATAGTCCTATTACCACTTTTTTGTATCAAACAACAGAAATACATCAGATGAACTGACATTTATGTAAACCAAACATGGCTTTCTAAAATTTCTGATAAAATTTTATTCATACTACTACTTTCTACAGACCCCACCTACATTTTGTACATATGTCAAAAGAATTTTGACATATCTTCAATTAATTCATGTCCTCAGAACCTATTTATTGATGTGGCTTTATCCAAAATTCAATTTGGATCAAGTTAGTTGTAAACCTAAGTGTGAATGCTAATGTAATGTCACATTATGGGTCTATTTGCATAGGCAGGACTTCTCAGACTCAGTGCCAAGCAAAACACTGGAGACCAGGTCTTGTGTGACAAGTCTAAGTGCTCATCCCTATGAACCATCCATCTTGGCAGGTGGAACATTTAGCGGTATGTGAGACCAGTTACTTCCGATTTATATATAAAAGTACAGTAAAGCTGTCCCATTATATGCCATATAGGCACTTCAGGGGAGCAGCTAGGTCATATCCACACCCTTTTCAATTAACCATTCACAATCATTCTTCCATATATGAGCCAGTTAAATTTAAAAGCATTAAATAAATGAAGAAACCAAAAATGGTACTGTTGCTGAAGTACAGGTCATGTGTATTTTTCACTGAATTAACTGTTGGCGATTCATATTTCCTTGTTACATTGGTAAAGAAGGGTGTATTACTTACAAAGGTGTTCAGTAAATTTGAAAATTACATGATTTCACGGGTTTAAAATTTATAACAGCTATAAAAGTTTAAGCCATCAAGTGTAAGTCACTATCAAAAGTTTCAAAACAGAATTTTCATTCTGTAAATTTTTTGACTGCAATAAGCTACAAATTTAAAAAAAAAATCTGACAAGAATCATAATGATAGCAGCAACAAATATGAAATTTATGAGACACTGAACATGATTCATGAAAGAAACAAGGATACCTTAAGACAGCTATGAAGTAAACATGTCCTTGAATAAAGTCATTACAGTTCATAGGATGAAACAGAATTACACGATACCAAGATATCTAAACAAACACAAACTTGTAAGCCTTAAAGTAAGATAATCCTAGGGCATAAGAGAAGAGATGGGAAAATTTGAATGTACATTTCATACATTGCAGGAGAAATTCTAGTGTGGAACCTCCAAAAAGATGATGACTGTCTGATAAGTACCACTGTCACTGTACCTGGTGCTCACAGAGAAGCTGTAAGCCAAGTGTCCTGGGTTCGTAACCCAGATCCTACTCAACAGCGGCACGTGCTTGTTTCAGCAGGCCGTGACGGGCGTTTATTAATGTGGCAAGTGGGAACTCACTCAGGGAGCATTCAACTGATCGAAGGGTATGAAACACATTCATGCATGTCTTAGGCTTCTGAATAAAACAAATTAACAAAAACATTGCAAATGTTAGGGTTTTGTAGTGGTTTTAATTTTTTTATGTTTGTCTTTAATTCAGCAAAGATGGAAAACACTAAATATAATTGTTTTGCTTTCTGTTGACAGTACTTATCTATTTTATTATTTGTTTTTACCCATTACCCACTTTCCACTTCACAATCAAAATCATTTATTATGTATCACTTCTCCACATTCAATACGCTTCCTAAATACAAGCTAACGATTGAGCAAGTGGCTGGTGCCATTAAAACGGTGCCACCAAATTTATAAGCTACCAACTTTTGGTAAGTATTAATAAAATGTTTAAAATTAATAGAATAATGGGCTATGCTCAGGAAGTTCAGAACATTGTCAGATTCTCTGGTAACTCATACAGCCAATCCATTCCATAATTATGCCAGCAAGATGATATGTCAGTAGACAAATGTGAGTGTGTGCGTGTGCAAATTAGCAGTCACAGCTAACAATGAACGTCTCATTACTACTAGGTTTTTCATCATGTTGGAACACATAAAGTACACAGGTCCAAGCAAAGCAGTGCCTTCACCCGTAGGTGGTCCTGATGTGGATATGGAACTGGGAGTCACATGCTTTAGTTTTGCTGCACAGGACTTGACAACTTTTGTGGTTGGGGTGGACGGAGGTGGCCTACTGCACTGTACCACCATTGCAACGAAACCTGCACCAGGTTGTTTGAAATTTTAAATTTAAATTTTGTTATTACAGATTGACAGTGAAAAATATAAAGGGGCATAAGAAACAATTATCGTGAAAGCAGTATTAAAAAAAAACACTTTCCTCTGTTTTTCTAGGGTTTCAAAAAGTTATAATTTACTGTTCTTAATCAGCAGCACTACTAGACAAACCATAGAGACTGGTGGTAGGCTCTTGTGGACTTGTGGGGTTCTTTGACTTTTTATAGAAAATTACCACATAAGGCTACCAAATGTAGAATGGGACATTATATTAATACAGATCATATGACTGAGTTTCAGTGCACTCAGAAGTGCCGCTGAAGGATCCAGTTCTGAACACGTTTGAGAAGCACGAGGGAGCAGTAACATGTGTAAAGTGCTCTCCACACCATGCAAAAACATTCATATCTTGTGGAACTGACAATGAAATTCGCATCTACCATATGAATCAGGTTTGTTATTCAAGTTACATAAATGATGAAAATTAATATGCCCCATGTAAAAATGACAAATTAATATTATTAACCACTACTCCAACTTGTACTACACATATTTTTCAAATCCATTCTTTGAAATTTTGCATACTTCACTTATTAAAGATTTAAAATTACTGTTGGAAAGCTAACGGTACAAGGGTTTGCCCATAATTGCTGCTACAGTAGAATTGATGCTAATGTCATTTATAAAACACACAACCAGAGCGAAAATTTGACAGTTTTTAGTGACTGTGGGGCACACTTACAGAAGCAGCATGCAACATTTTCAAATGTTACTGTTTGTCTGAAAATCACTGGTGCATGGACACATATGGTGAAACTAAAGTTTGTCATCTCCACAGAAAGATTATTTTCAAATTTTTTGCAGACCGCTCCTGTCCGAGTGATTTATGTAGAAGCTGGTGTTGTGGGTCTGGAGTGGAGCCTAGCACATCCAGACCTGTTTGGGGCATGGGGCAACATCTCTGGCTGCGTCAATTTCTACAACCTGAACAATGGGGAGATCATTCCTTCATTGCAGCTTCCTGCATGTGAGAAACCTGCACTTATCTCTGCTGTATGCTGCAACCCTCATAGGTTTGTGCCTCTCATTTTCACTTACCCATCTTTTACATAGCAAAATTTATATAATTATATCAATTAAAACTTTTGAAATTATAAAGGTTTACTGCATGTCACAAATATTCATAGTTATATGTATGAATGCAAAATTATCAAATATGTATATCTAGAGATTGACCATTAGATGGTTTGCATTTTAGTGGGGTTTGTTCCAATAAGTCTTTGAGCATTTTGTTTGAATCAGGAAGTTTTTGAGATGAAGGGCAAACATTAATTTACCCATAAGATTATCATGAATATTGGTCAAGCATTTATTTTCTGTCTAAATATTTTAAGGGGTTAACATTTTTGAATACATGGCTGCATAAGTGAATTAACTTCAATTCTGGTATAAAAGTCTCAGCGATTGTACATTATGTTAAATGACTAAACCTGAAATGTGGAGAAACTATACATCTGTAACAAAGGATATGACAGCGACCTGACACTGAAAATCACCTATGATCTGTATGGACACAGCTTAGGCCCGGTGACCTACTACAGTCTCATGCCGGTGTGTGTATGGTCTCTCCAAAGGTCTTTACCAATTTGGTTGGTAACATAGAATTTGGAATGGGACTCTTGAATAAGGCACATGCCTCAAATGCATGCAATGACTTCAAAAGTACTCAAAATGTCAAAGAGTTGAAAATCACTATTACATTCTAATTCCACCACCACAAAACAGAACTTTTTAAACTTGACATGGCTAAAAAAGAGAGAAATTAAAATAAGAACTTAGAAATGTTGTTAGTATCTCAATATCTCTGCCTTACAGCCATCAATTGGTCGCAGTAGGAGATGTACAAGGAAAAGTGGTAGTGTGGCAGCAACCTTCTTACAAGGAAGACAAGTAACTGTTACGTTAGTATTAAAATTACTTATGTCAAGAATTATTTAATAAAATGATCTATGAGCAATGATATTTACAAACCGTTTCCTCTAAGACAGCTACACTGGGTCTGTTTACTACTCCCCATAACCCATCCACGTGCAGAAATGCTGTTGGTCACCTGGATCCTGTTCCACATTCAGAAATTCAACGGTGTCATCGCTATTGTCCCAGTTCCACCCACTTACGTCACCAGGTTCCTGCTGCAATAAATACATAATCAAAATACAGATTCAACACTTAACAATTAAAAAGTAAGACTGCTATGCCCCATCACCATTTTGACTACACTTTACAGTAGTGTTCTGCAACTGGTGCACTGCCACAAGGTTTCAGGATGCAGATTTCTATACAAAACTGTATATTCACATGTTACAGTCAGAAAAAGGCAGAATCTTACCTTTCATAATAATAATTCATAATAAATATAGGCATACATACTGCGTCATCTGGAAGTGTCAGTACCACCGTTTAATAAACTGCACTTAAAATAATAAACATATTCTGAACTCACCATTTAACAATAAGCTACTTGAACAAATTTGCTCTTTAGAGAAGCTGTATTTCACTAGAACCCTACCTTAGCAAATGTGGATATCTCGGTGTGGAAACCAGTGATGTTTTCCACATGCACACGACCAGAAAGCTTTAATACATAAAACCAAATATGATTGGTAGATGGGGAACAAATGGAAAACCTTGAAATTCGCTACTAGTGAAGACTGAGACCACCGTATTTCAACGTTGAAATGGTACCACGTAGGTGGTATTGGATTCTTAAAAATTTTGTTGGCAATTACTTGCTCCTTTCCAATTCTGGCATCACACTGCTCAGGACTACCTAAACAGGTACCATCCAGTGTATTCTTTCCCCTAATAGCTAGTTTTAATTAGGGTATTGGCTCAGTTCTCAAATAATGTAGTTACTTTGCAGTACAGGATCAAAGAATAAGGGATTTATTGGACATTTTAGACACCATTTATTTGCACCACATTTCAGCAAACACCACAAAACATTTGAAGCACTCCATTTACAAATGCCATGTAACACTTAGCCAGTTATTTATAAGGGGAAGTGGAATACTCTGCTTATATCCGCACAATTAATATTTATCATAGAGAATATATATTTATATATAGTATCTTACAGACGAGCCCCTCAGCTCTCAAACTTGCCACCAGGTGGCATCAAGTTGATGGTGCCCGTCATGTAAATGTATTCGGACCCAAACCAGCTGAGCGCATTCCATGCGCAGCAGAGAGAACAAACATTTTATTTGTGTCATGACATTTTATTGTCTGTTCACAAAGACAATTCAGAGAGCAGCGAGTTCAGCTCGTCTGAAGAAAGTTTGTCTTTCTTTAACTCTTTAAATTTAAAAAACAACCTCAGCATATTTATTTATACAGAGTAAAACATAAATAAGATACACAACATGCTAGTTTTACATGAACAATTAGAAGTGTATCTCTTGATTTGTTTATTAATTACAATACACAATACTTGGCTAATGCCACAAAATGCAATGAGTCAGACACCTCTGTTTGTCTTGGCATGTAACAATTAGATGATGGAAATAAAGTCTGGATAGACAAGCTCAGCCTTCATCATGGCGACATCATGAAAAGAATGTAAACTAAAAGGATTGCCCAGACACAGTAGTGCATAAAGCATCAACTGTTATCAATATTTTGTAATATCAAGATGTCGGCAGTTGCACAAGAGTCTACTGAAAAGTCTTGATCGATTTTTAAAATCATCGGTGTTGAGTGATAAGAGCGCTCCGATTTATAAAGCAATGTGTAACTAGATTCCAAATTGGAGACCAAATTGTACAGGGGTGTATTTTTTACATTGAACCTTATATAATTGGATTTTGTGCAGCCATTCACAAAAATCCTTAGTAAGGACACCCATTTTCCGGGCAAGAACCTGGAGATTTATTAATGCAATATGAATAGAAATTTTAATTCCATGCACTCTTATCAAAGTCGTTTTCGGTGGTTCGTTCAAATTAAGACGCCTGCATGCTATAATAATCACCATCCCTGACCTATAAAACCTAATCTACCCGCATTAAGAAGTCGATTGAAAAGTAGTGCACTGTTTTCACAATTTATCTTAGCGTTTCTTGAAAATATGGAAAAATAAATATTTTCATTGCTGTATTTTACCAAATAAATATTGTTATTCAAAACTATTATTAATTAAAATAGTATCTTTGTTATCTTCACAGTCAGTTGGACAGATTCAAAAACTTTAGACACAAGAAATGCATTTAGAAGATTTTAGACTTTCTTGGCAATACAGTTCTAATGTGGGTCTTGTGTTTTGTTGGTGGCACTGAGTAGAAGTAGTCTGTATTCCCAGTGTTTCAGAGATTCTCCATCTTCTCGGAGAAGTGAGTACCCAATGGCAAGCATAGATACCTAGACTAGACACTTCACCTTAAGGATGAAGGGAGAAAGAACCTCAGAAATTTTAGTAATGCATTCTACATATCCACAGAACCATCATCTCAAAATAGGATCCTCGTTAAAAGAAATGCATCTGTTAGAGGATTTGTAGAGCATATGACAAAGATATGCATCTACAGGGTGGTAGAAAGTAAGTAGGCATTGAGAAATGGTTATAACCTCTATATTTCCAATGCAAAGATATTATGTAATGCCTACTTACTTCCCACCCATCCTGTATATCAAGCAATGTACGGGTTTGGAAGTAGGAAAATGATATTAACTGAAACTAGTGGGCCAAAGGATAAAAGGATAATACAATTTGTTGTCAGATAATATGAGATAATGGTAGTGGCCAATTAAATAAAGTATTTACAGTGAACGGAGGCGAGTGAAAAAGGTAATATGAAGTTTGTCCCACTGATATACCCTGTTGTCAGGCTTTTGTTGTGGATTTTGGCATTCCTAGTGAATGCAGAGACCTCCAAACAGCAAATCTCGAATGCTTATATTTTAAATGTAATAGAAACCATGATATTGTATAATAACTTCAGATATCTTCATTAACCAATTAATATTTTAAACCAGAACAGAACAACAGTTATTAATGGTCTCAATTTACCACATTAAAGTAGAAATAAACAGCCATGTTTTCATCTTTTTTTTTTAAATTTTAGCAGTCAACTATTGGTCCATATAATATTGAATTAAGCTTCTATGCATATCTTCATAGTCAAAACACAACCATTATGAGAAATAATTTTCAGAAAAAAATATCACGACATTTAATTAAACTTTTCGGCACATATCTCAGATCAGAGCTTTCCAAAGCCGTATCTTGTAATGTCAGGCCGATCTGTGAATGGGGGAAATATTATTACATTTTACAATTACACTGAAACGTCACGAACAATGAAATACAATAACCAGTTTGGAAAACCATGATCTATGGCAGAAAGAGCTGTTTCTTAAGTCCATCATAATTCTTCCTTATTACCATTATGTGATCGTGTCGGAAATCCTGCTGATTATGAAAACAAACTGTTGGAAACTACTAAAATCATCAAAGTAAATTTCAAAAGCTCAAACAGATGTGCATTAAGAGTTCTGCAGTAAAAATTTATTCAAAATACTATTTTAAAATAAAAATTCTCCATTATTTCTTGCACAAGGATAAATAAATTGTGTTTGGAGGTCTCTTTAAAACTTATCTAGACCATCTGTATAGGCCTACATGATATAGACTAATGCTTTTACATTTAAATTTGGTATCGATTTTGTGCACGATTATTTTGTCGACATCGATGACTTCCCCTTTTAAGTGGGTACTTGTATATTACAGGTTGTGATTGGTATTTTGGTTCCTCAAGTTGTATGCACTGCAATATAAAGAAACAACTGGGAGTACAGATGTGTGTACATGGTATTTCAGTGCATGCTAATTTGTAATTATATTCATGGTCATTTGTAACTTACTCTGCATTCAGCCAAATTTATGTCTGTAAGCATTATTTGATTGATTGACAATACGAACACCGTTTCGTGTTCTTGTATTTTAAAACAGACTGAATTATTCTCTTTGAGACCAAGCAAGGACGTCATCTTCAGAGTGCGGTATAAATACCGCGACAGCAATAAGGTTTACTCGTCTTCATCCTCGTTCTGGTACGTCACGTATCGCACTGAAGACTTTTCTCCGAGGATCAGGGACTGAAACAAAAAGCAACATATTTATCCAATTTCATCAGTAACCCTTTCAGATGGTTGGGCTGCAAGAGGACAGTAAGGATCAGAAAGAAAATTAAGTAGAGGAGGTAAAGCAGAAGAAAATAAAATTGGAGGAGGAAGGACAGAATAAAATAAGAAAAAAAATAATAAGTATTAGGAAGGACAGAATAAAATAAGAAAAAAATTAATAAGAAATGAACTGAATTCATAAGATGATTCTTTAATGACATAAGAACTTACCTGTCATATAGGAAAATGTCTAATGTGCTGATATTAATAATTTGTATTGGAAATGTTAAGACTAAATTAACTCATCATGTGGTCGTGTGCTATTAAAAAATATATATATATATAACATATGAAACAAGAAGACTTTAAAAGTGCTGCTCCAAAATCTGGATTTATATGAAAACCTAATAATAATTTTGGTATCTATAATTGTAGTTTTGATTAAGCATATCCTCATGTTTAATTTCAAGACAACTGTAAGGAGAAAAAATGAAAAATCAACAAAATATTAAAAATTAAAATAAATGGACACTACATGAACAAAGTTTTAATAAACAAAAAATAATTACAAATGGTATAAGTAAGGCACAAGAAATACTACAGAGTAAAATTATTAATTATTAAAGAAATAAAGAAATTTAAAATAAATTTAAGTTAAAAGTAGCAGAACTTAAATATGAACAAGTTAAATCTTGCTCCTAAGATGTTAATATTTTCAATTCTTAAGTTCAAAGCAACTGGCAAGTAGTAATGTGTACTTCTACAGTCCAACTATTAGCAAATCATCACTTTCAGAAAAGTTGAAGATGCCCAAGGATTTGACCTATTTTAATCAGTCTCACCTTTAGATGATACTTTTGATTATACAAAAAACAAAAAAACAAAACAACAAAAAACAATTAAATAACACAAACCAAGCTTAAAGCAAACTGTAACATTTTCCTTTTCTTTCATTTGCTCAATCACCATGTTCGTAATATTCAACACTTTACGGCACAACCGCAAACACGTTCATGATTTGTTACCGTGTCACATTTGATATGTATCGGTAGGATTTTCCATCGTCTCTCACGCTCAAACTGCAAAAAAACAAAACACTCTCGAATGGAAGAGGACATACTGAGTGACTTTGTTCTCGACCTGACACATCGTCATAATGAAAAACATATCATCACCACCTTCACTAGTCAAAAAACATCCCAGACTGAATATTTACAAAACTTTGTTAGCATATGGACGTAAAGCCCGCGTGACAAGAAAACTGACGAAAAGAGACCGATGGCATCAGAAATGGAATTTACGTAAAGAAGTTCACGTTACATACCATTACATCATAAATGAAGCCTTTAAAACTAAAATCATCATAATTTTTTTATAAAATTACCAAACTAATTGAAATAATATGTAAGAAGATCAAATTAAGAAGAATATAATAGAAGAGGCGTACAGCATAAATTGGGCAATGACAAAAACCTGCAAAATTTTTGTCAGAAAAACCAGAAGGAAAGAGACTATTTAGGAGACCATGGCATAAATGTAAGGATATTAAAATTAATACCAAGGAAATAGGATAGGACGGGAGCCATTAAAAGTATGGAATTCCTTCATCAGCAAAGGGACTATTTTACCTTCCCAAGGAGGACTTTGCTCCATCGTCTAGTTAATTACCATAACAGCCTGTAACATAGGATAATGATATATCACCAGGTTCTGGTGCAATGGGACCCCCCCCCCCCCCCCCCCCACTTGTATTATTATAAGTAGCAGAGGATAAGAGGAGTCGCAGAAGAAGTAGATATTATTAATAGTATCATTATGAAGTTTGACTGCGATTCAAACGCCCGGTGGTCTTCGCATCTGCTCGACTGATCAGTGTCAGCGTCAGCATCCGGATAAGCGCACCTTCTTCTCTTCCTTGGTGGGTGGGTTGCGCAGCAAGTACATGAGAGGCGCATACAGGAAGTTGAGGATCGCGATGCCAAACAGCATCCACTCGAAACCAATGGAATTCACCAGCGTTCCACTCAGTGCAGGACCTGCAGGACACCGGCAAGTTGCAATTTACGGTGACTGTACCTACCTACTAGTAATGCGGTTAGACCTACACACAACAAAATTCCAAAGGATATGAACATTTTCTGTTTTTGGTCCCAGGTGAAATTTCAGGTTCTGACGGTGATAAGCACAAAGTTGAATTTACAATTAATGTTCTTGAAACTTTTATTTTTTAAACTAAATAACATCAACAATCATAAAATGCCATAAATTTCCTAATAATTGTTCGTATGTAAAAGTACCAACACTGAGGTAGCTTAAGATGCTGTTCCACGTAGAAATTACGTTTTCAAAAACTATTTAAGCTTTTAGTGTGTCATTCTTAAAATTACCTCGCGGAATGTAGTGAAAGTAGAGGCAGTATCTAACTAAAACGTTTATAATATTTCAAGTTTGCTCTAAATTAAAACACAAATAGACTGACATCTCCTATCAAACCAGTAGAACATTGATAAAATCGATTACTGAATGATTACTTGAGGCAGCCTTAACAGAGATCACACTCACCAATAGCGAAACCCAGGCAAAATGCAACGTCGCCTATGGCGTACACGCTGCCATAAACTGCAGTGTGGCGAATGTCCACCAGGTAACCAAGTTCGGGCATCATTGAGCTGTCAACCATGCCAATCGCGAATCCAAGTCCAGCATTCGGCACAATCAAGTGATTCATACTGCGTGCTAGAGGGATCTGCCAACAAGCAGCGTCAGGTATGTTGTTGCTAGTAACTCACAGTACATAAAAGTGGCGTCTAGAAACAAAGTAGGTGTGAGATCTACTGTTGCCAGCGGCTCACAGAAAAAGTTACGTCTAGAAACAGTCGATGTTTACACCCGTTGCTAGCGGCTCGCAGATCGACAGCCCACGCAAATGTGAACGTTTTTGGGGTTTGGCAATACAGCCAGTGAATACTGGGTATGACTCAAATTCTAAACAAACACAACCTACAATTAAGCAAAATGTGGCAACAGAGTAACAGCGAATACTTCGCTGCTACGTGTTTCCACCCTCGACATAAATCTTATTTTCCTTCACGTCATGCATTTGTATAAGAACTCGACAGGTCACATATAATTGTTATGTTCCTACGTATTTTGATCCACATTTCCAATTACTGTCGGAATACGGATGTCTGAATACAGTGTACTAGATGCAACTCAGCTGATAATTTGGGTAACGACAATGTTAAATTACGATTACAGCCATTTGCAATAAGACAAGTACGTAACATTAAATTGACAAACGAATTAATCACAAAAAGAATATAGTGGGAAATGCAAAAAATTAGCATAGAATCTATGGATCAGGATTGTCATAGTAAGAAGGAGAAATATTTATAAATGCATCAATATGACTCTACATATATCTATATGTATCAAGGTCGGTACTCACACACATGAGGCAGATTCCAATGATAATGAGCCCCAAGAGTGAAGCCAGCCATCTGCAATAAAGCCATTCGTCACTGATAACATCGTCATCAAACATCAAAGGACAAAGTGTTACAAGTATTGTTTTCACACGTGCAGAACAAAAGACACGACGCCTGTTTGAAGATAAGAACAATCATTTGTCTATCCGACCCTCATTCTTTTCTTCAGTCTTACAGTTTGTTGGAGTACGTTCATGTATAGTCGGGGTAGTAGTTTTTGGCCGGTGGAATTTTCAAGGGGAAGGCTAGGAGCGAGACGCTTGTGCGATAGTATAATGCTGACTGCACCCAGAAGCTTATCGGACTGAACGCCCAAACAAAAGAAATACACTGACCGTGCCACCTCAGGTACACAGAGTAGGCCCGTCCGCCAGCTCCACCGGCCAAAAACTACTACGCCGACTGTACTGATCTTCCTGTTCACAAAGCTTTCACAGATTGAGATGATACGTCATCTAAGTGGCCCTGAAAAACCGGCAGACATAAATCTTAAGAAACAGTAAATAATCGGAACCAGTACATTTCTTGAATAGTTAAATAACCTTTATATTTATGTGGGTCACCAATCTTTTTTATATATATTTTTTTTTTCACAAACATTGTCTTTTACATTGTCTGACTGAACTTGCAGAGCTTTGTGACAACATAAATGAAGGTACCAGGTTCAGATCTTTGTCGAACATCCGATTACTCTACGCAGAATAAAAAAAAATTGTAAATGTATGCACTGCATAACATTTCTGGCGGGTTAGGAAAAAATTCGACCCTTCGTCTCTACGAACGACGCCTGTGATGATGTCATAATTGTCTGAGATCAGTGACGTTTAAAACGCTTTTAAATTTAAAAAATGGTCATTAAAACTGTGGGATCAAATTTAAAACTGAAACGGTCAGTAATTTTTTGTAACATTCTCAAATATAAAGTTTTAATCAAAATAAGCGTGTCTGTTCTCGAGGTGTTTCATCGACAGCCCACGCAAATGTGAACGTTTCTGGGTTTGGCAACACAGCCAGTGAATACTGGGTATGACTCAAGTTCTAAACAAACACAACCTACAATTAAGCAAAATGTGGCAACAGAGTAACAGCGAATACTTCGCTGCTACGTGTTTCCACCCTCGACATAAATCTTATTTTCCTTCACGTCATGCATTTGTATAAGAACTCGACAGGTCACATATAATTGTTATGTTCCTACGTATTTTGATCCACATTTCCAATTACTGTCGGAATACGGATGTCTGAATACAGTGTACTAGATGCAACTCAGCTGATAATTTGGGTAACGACAATGTTAAATTACGATTACAGCCATTTGCAATAAGACAAGTACGTAACATTAAATTGACAAACGAATTAATCACAAAAAGAATATAGTGGGAAATGCAAAAAATTAGCATAGAATCTATGGATCAGGATTGTCATAGTAAGAAGGAGAAATATTTATAAATGCATCAATATGACTCATATATATATATGTATCAAGGTCGGTACTCACACACATGAGGCAGATTCCAATGATAATGAGCCCCAAGAGTGAAGCCAGCCATCTGCAATAAAGCCATTCGTCACTGATAACATCGTCATCAAACATCAAAGGACAAAGTGTTACAAGTATTGTTTTCACACGTGCAGAACAAAAGACACGACGCCTGTTTGAAGATAAGAACAATCATTTGTCTATCCGACCCTCA